TCCCGTACAGATTCTATACAACTTCCTTTGCATATACAATAAAGAAAAGATGGAAAAATTATACCATGCCAAGAAAGCTGTCTTACCAAACAAGAGCTGTCGCCTGTAGGGTATATTTAGAAATTGGAGGACAATTTAGGAAGAGAGTCGCACAACATAAGCCAGAAGAGTAATGAAAAGTAAAGAGAGTGGGAGTTGCTTTCAGGTATTGAGCACTCCCAGACAGCATCAGTGAATATCCAGACCGACACAACTCTTTTCCACCTCACCAAGTAACAGCAAAACCCAACACTTACGCAGCATTTTTCATTCATCCGTCTCAAATTGCATCGCAAGGTATGATAAAGCATTGAATTTCGCATCTCTCCCTGCACTGATGCACAGAGCTGAAGCCCAAGGTCACATGAAGGCAAAGGCTAGGGACAAATGTAGGCCATGGAGTCATGTTTGTTGCTGTAGATGCTGAGTTTGGACCTTCTCTTCAAACCTTAAAGCAGCTTTGCCAGCCTTGCGTGGGCAGGGCGGCCTGTGGGATTTGCCTACTCTGTCATTTCAGTAGGAGCAGAGCTTCCAAAGCAGATGTCGCACCAAGGAGTAATTTTGAGCAGCACGTCCACTTCAGCCCACAGAGTCCCAGCGCTGCTGAGGCTGGTGGGCACCTCTAGAGATACATCCAGTCCAACTCTCGCTCACAGCAGGGTCAGCAACAGCCACAGCAGGCTACACAGGGCTATGTCCTGTCAGGTTTTCGATACCTTCAAGGATGGAGGTGCCACAACCTCTCTGGGCAACCTGTGCCAGTGTTTGACACTCTCCCCCCCCCAAATAAAAACGTTTTCTCCTATATTTAAATGAAGTTTCCTGTATTTTGGTTAGTGTCCCTTGCCTCAAGTCCTGTGTCTGGGCACCACTGAGAAAAGCCTGGCTCCATCTTCTTTACTTCCCCCATCAGATATCTATATCCATATGGATAAGATCCCCCCGAGCCTTCTCTTCTCCAGGCTCTCTCAGCCTCTCCTTGTATCAAAGATGCTCTAGTCCCTTCATCATGTTTGTGGCCCTGCACAGACTCTTCAGCATGTTCATGTCTCTCCTGTACTGGGGAGCCCAGCACTGGACCCAGCACTCTAGAGGCACCTCAGCAGTGCTGAACAGATAGGACCACCTCCCTCAACCTACTGGTGACTGATCACAACCCTTTGAGCCTGGCACTTCACTACTGTTTAATTTACCTCATCATCCACCTCCTCAGACCATAATTCACCAATGAGGATTTTAGAGGAGACAGTGTCAAAAGCCTTGCTAAAGCTACAATAAGCAACATCCACCGCCCTCCCCTCAGCCACCAAGCAAGTAATCTCACTGTAGAAGACCATCCAGTTAACCAAGCATTTCTCCTTCAAGAATCCATGCTGACTAAACCCAAACACCTTCTGGTCCTTTCTGTGTCTGGAAGTTGTTTCCAGGCTCATCTACTCCACCACCTTCCCTAGGGTCAAGGTGAAGCTAATGAGCCTGTAGGTCACCAGATCCTCCTAAATTCTTATTTGCTTTCCTTCCAGTCCTCGGGAACTTTCTCCAGTTGTCTTGTGCTTTTAAAGATATTCAAGAGTAGCATCATGATGACATCAGTCCACAGCATGCCAGAATGCCACTTCTAGATAGCTCGGGGAATGCAGTATTCCAGCCCAGACCTGTGCCTTTGACAGAACAACCTGCCCAAAGAGTTTGTATTTGTTCCTCAACACTTGAAACAACTAAGATCTGCTAGGACTGTATGACTGTTATTACTGAATGAAAGCCGCACCGCATGACTTGCCTTATCGATTACAGGAACAAGGGGAAGCAGAGGGACACTCAGCTGTAAGGAGCTGACACAAAAGATCAGAGTACTGGCAGCAGGGACAGCATCTCCCTTCAGAGCAGGGCTAACCAAACCACCCCATCTCCTGTGCTCTCAATGCAAGGACTGCAACATGTAAAATCAGCTGCAAAAGCCCTCACTGACCAAAAAAGCCATACAGATCAGAAATGCACTTGTTTCCCCCACCCTCATCTCAGGAGCAGCTGAGCTGTAGCATAAGTGATTTTGTTCACAGCAAAGCCTAGATCACCTAAACTGCACCACCACAAATGAGTAAAGCCTGATTTTTTTGTTTTCTTCCCCTCTCAACTGTTCTAGCTCAGTAGGTGAGATGGATTCAAACAAAAAAAACCACCAAAGCCCGAGGGTGCTGAATTTTAAACTACACACCCACAACTACATTTTCAGTAGCTAAGTTATAAAAGAAGAAAGATAAAAATAAAATTTCAGAAGTGTGAAGGTTGTCACTAGAATATTTTTATCTAAAGTGAGTCACAAAGCCTGAGAAGTAGGATTTTTTTTTTCCTATTAACACTGCAGAAAAAACTTTAAAAAAAAAAATCAACATAAAACCACCACCCCAATGCAAAACAATGAGAAAGTTAAAAGCTACACTAAGCTGCAGCAAGACACTAGTTACTGCAGCATGTAAGAACCAACAGTTTCTTCCTACACAGAGAGAGATCTTGTTAGAAAGCAGTAAACAAAACTCACCCCTCTTAACCCAGCACAGGAAAGTTACAGTGACCTGAGAAGCCTATAGGTATTGACAGTACCAGAAAAGATTGTTATAGCAGCTTCCCTATCCAAAGGCTGAATTCAAAGTACTAGGAAAGCACATTCTTGAATAGCAGGAAGGGGTGCGTGAAGTCTGAGCAGGGCCTGGAAGAACAGGAAAATAAAAGTGGAGGAGAGGAAGGGACAGAGACCTTCCACTTGTTGGCAAAGACTGCAATCCAGGGTTTAACATCACTGCAGGGTACGTCTCCACGTCTGCTATGGGAGTTGGCAGAAATGGTTTGCTATGAGAACAACAAGAGCAATTCTGTGGGTACTGTGTGTGCAACAAGTCCTACGTTAAAAATTCCGATTTATGCCACGTGCAGATCTCCCCCAAAAGAAATCTACCTCTTCCTATCTACAGGAAACAGACTTTTAAAAGATTTTCTTCTCAAACAGTTTTTGGTTTTGTGTGAAAGTTTAATATTCTTAAGTTCATAATGACATCAGGATCAGGAATTCAGATTGGGGGGGAGGGGTTGTAGTTTTTCTTTTTTTCTTTTTTTTTTTTTAAACACAAGGTCAGAGCGTACAATCAGACAAAGCTCTGCCATCAACTTGATAGAGACAGAAGCACATTAAAGGTTGTTTAAAGTGCAATTTAGTAGCATTCCTAAGACATCAAATTGTTTTCCTGCAGCTGTTACCCATGCTTTCAACAGCACTGATTAACACTCCACTCTGAAATCAGGTTCTGCCCGAGTGCCAGACCTCCGTGGATTAGAGTCCTTTGCTGGTACTTTCATCCCAGTAAAACTGTAAAAGCCATAAGCAAGTCAGTGAGATTGAGATGGCTCGTGGGATCATCATGGGAAGAGTGAATCATCTGCCTTGGAAATATAAATGTTTATGATCACTGCTTCTATTCTGCACACACATTCTTGAGACACGCAGCTTTTACAAGGGTGTTGATATTTACATAATTCCATAAATTTAGACAGTGCATTACAAATACAATATGTAGTTGTAGCTATAAACAGCAGAGCAGTGGGACAGAATTTTCAACTATTTCTTTTTTTCTGAGCACCACAAATGAGATGTATGGCACAAGTTAAGGAACTAGAGGAGTTATTAGGCAACAAAAAACCCCACGTGAGTCGCTGTATTTTAAACAGTGGAATGGAAGGCTAGACTTCTACCAAAAAAAAAAACAAAAAATAAAGTCAGTCCCTGAGATTTAGCTCCAAAGTTTAACCACGACTAAAAGACAAAGAGTAGATTATGAAATTGAGGTTTTGATAATGGATTATTTTCATTGCAAGTTTTCAGAGTCAATGTGACAAACTAACACCTGCCCTTGACAAGAAGGATTCTGACAAACAAGTGCACAACGTCATCAGAAGACTAAACTTGTTTCTAAACCTTGGCTGATGCTGTTTTAGTGCTCACAACACTACAAATGTGTGCACAAATCTATGAAAAACAAAAAAAATCACTGCATGCTGTAGGAACATCATAACCAAGTAAGACATTCTTCCAGAAGGGCAACTAATAAATTCCCTATGCATATTAAAAAGGGACAAACGGGTAACCTTGGTGAGCTTTCTGAACTTTGATAATATTCTTAATACTACAAGTTTGCTTCAAGAGTTAGATCTGTCAGGCAATTACTGTAACAGTAGTTAAGGGCTAAGGCTTAACACTGGGTACCTGAGCTCCACCAGCAACCTAGCACTGATGCAGTTACTGTATCTTAATCTATTTTTTTTTAAAAAAAGGCTTCTTGCATCAGTCTGCACCCTCATTGCCATTTCTCTGCTCAATTGATAAATTAGTTCAGAGAGGAGGAAACTCGTGGTGCAAGCAGTACTTTTAGAGCCAGGTCAGTTATACCTTCCATTTCATTTTATACTGGATATACTACATTTATATTGGATACATTATATCAATAACAACTGGGGGGGTGGGGGGGAAGTGCACTGAATTACCCTTTCAAAAGCACACTGAAACACTTCTGGAGACTCAGATATTCCCAGACATGCCAGACCATGATTTCACATCAGGAAGATCCATCCTACCACAACACTACTTGGCTCTGGTGATGGACTGACACACATTTCATAACAAGGTAAAACATTCAGAGCTCTGAAGCTCAAAAGTGGGGATCTGCACCTACTCTAGGAAAGGTGGAGCTCTGTGCCACTGCTGCCTTTCTGCTACAGGGAAACACAGCTACTTAATGTGGATGCTGTTTTCACAAGGAAATGGCCACCTCGGGCAGAACAGATCAGAAAAGTGGTTTTAACAGCTCTCAGTATGTACTTCAGTGATTATTTTGCTATACTGATGTCTTTCAAAAAGCAACAGTCAGGTAGAAAACATCAGCCTTTGCTTTACTGTCCACAACAGACATCCTCTACAGTGCTGCTTCACACTGAACTGACGGGGTTTCCCACGTGTCCTCATCTGCCAAGTGAACCATCTGTGAAGTTTGATCCTCGGATGCTTTCTCACCCTGGGCTATTAATAATGCACCTTCTCCTCCTGCTAACTGAAGGTCAGAGCTACAAGAACAATTAGATTCATCCAGCTTGTCCGTCAGAGACTCTGCTGTAGTTGTAGAGGATTGTTCAGTCTCTGTTTCAGCTTCTGGTTCTGTTTTAAAATTAAGTCCAAACACGTTATTTCGGATGAGGTATCGAACACACTGCAAAATCACATTCCTTTCGTGTCGGATGTCCTGGGCCAGCAACTGGAAAAAAAGAAGAAAAGATGATGCACATTTCCCTCTATTGCTCTGTAGCTGATACAAGCCTAGCAGAATGTATGGCTCTACTCAGTAACTTTTAATATCTCAATTTAAATAGTCAGCTCTCCCACACAAGTCCTGGACATACAGAGCAGGAGACTGCCTTACCAGACACAGCACAGGAAAGCCACATATGCTCACATTCACTGCTCCCCCACCAACTTCTGGGCAGCAGCAGGCTGCTAGAGCAGTGCAAGTCAGTGGTCAAACACCACTTCTAGTGACAGAGGCTCATAATGGCCACAATTCACTAAGGAATTTCCTCACCAATTTTCTGACTGTAAATCCATGGAATGGTTTGGATTGGAAGGGACCTTTAAAGGTTATCAAGTCCAACCCCCCTGCAGTGAGCAGGGACATCTTCAACTAGATCAGGTTGCTCAAGCCCCGTCCAGCCTGACCTTGAATGTTTCCAGAAGCCCCGTGGCTTCTACCACCTCTCTGGGCAACCTGTGCCAGTGTTTCACCACCCTCATGATGATGTTCTCCTAATACTATAATACTAAGCCATGCACTCCAGTACATCAGGATAGCTGTGACGCTTTCCAGATTGTACTGTAATTTAATATCACAGGCATTCTTTTATTAGAAAATCCCTATGAGTAAAAGATACTTATAAATACAAAGAAAGGGCATGTTTCATCAGGTACCAGACTGTGGATTTAAATAACAATAACTGGTTTGGGCTATAATCCACCAACCTAAGTCTAGTAGCTTAACCAGAAGGCCTCCCTCATCTCCTTTACCCTCACTAAAGTTCATTTTGATATTTAAAAAAAAAAATTTAAAAAAATCAGCCAGAAAGCTGAAGGACCTTTTGTCATTGCAAGCGTCAGAAGAAATAGTACTCTGAGCAAACAGTAAGTTTAAAGCAAGTGATTAAATCTACCTGATCATTTGCAGGAGATCTGTATTACACATTGCAGGAGATCTAGCTAAATTAGGCTTGTAATGTGGCAGAGAAGCTTTTCTGTTGTTGTTAAAAGTTTCAACAGTGGTTTAACCAGTCACTTTAAAGTATGCACATTTTTCTATTTAGACTAGGTTACCTAAAGGGGGCTACAAGCAGCCAACACTTAAAGTGAGCCTTCAGAAACGTCCCGGCCAAACTAAGGGATGCACATTAGGGCAAAGAAGGGACAGCACAGTGATGTTCTCTTTGACAGACTGGGAAAAACTGCTAAATTCCCTAATGGTCAAATACAGGCACAGATGGGATGGCACCATCACCCTGTCAAAGACTGTATCTTTGCATTACATTTTTTAATGCAGAGGTGAGCATCAGTGGAATGACACTACACAAGCTTTTTATTTTGTCAGCATATAGAATGGCTAAACACACATTACTGGTGGTCATTTGTCAGTGAGCTTGGGGATGACTAAAACATGTTTATTGTAGCCAAGCAAAAAAAACCCACCAAAATGCAATTTCAAAATGGACTATACTGGCAAGCTGCAATTCAGGCTTACAATGTTCTGCTAGCTTCTCTCAGCATGTAGGACTGCATCTCATTTTTTTTTCCCCTCAGAGTCCTCACTGCTTTGATCACCAACAACTTTGAAGAGCAAGAGATAAAGAAAACTGCATGCTTAGGGAGCTACACAAAGGGCAAACACTTCCTTTTCAGTCACTAGGAGATTTAATTCTTGGCAGCAATAGTACTATGTGAAAAAAGGACCATTTCTCTCACATCTTCAGCTTGGGATTTGCCATAATCAGGTATCCCTTGCCTAAGCATCCTGTCCTGTTTCAGAGCCTTGATATCAGTGGCACCCTGCTTTCTCCTGTGTTCTGCCCACAAGTTTTGCCTTGATGGGGGAGATTTATACTGGTTATTTACAGAATCAGAAGGGCAGTGTACCTATCTGATACTGCTTTTGAGTAGTAAATGCAATAAAAGCTTCAAAGTTTTGTTCGTCCTAAAGAAAGCCACCAAGCTCCCAAGTAGGATGCTTTGCACTGTTACTGAGAACAGAATTGTAACACCTTGGACTCACCCCTACAATCCTCTTTTTACCCTTCTGAGACACCAACTGGTACTTCAACTTATCAGTGCTGTCACTTCCTCAGATTGATCTGAACATGCCTACAGAGAAGAAACCCGTGCACGTGCAGATTGCAGCTCAACACCACTCTACGGTTTAAGTCACCAACACCTTCATCAACAAGATCTCTCTGACTGCATCTGAAAAACCTCTGTGCACCCTGATCAGATGACAGCAGCTGAGTAGCAAAGCCAGGAGCAAAGAGAGGAAGATCAGAATAAGGCTGATGGGATCTCACACGAACAAAGCCTACTGGATACTACCAAGGGAGCAGAGAGGGAGGAATAGAAGTTTTGTCCTTTGTGCAGCTCATTTTAGGCACATGATTAAGTCGTCAGCTCTTGCTCACCAAAGTCAGTAATTACCTGAATGTACACCAGGTTATTTCTATTTGTCTGTTTAAGCATCTACACCCTTCTCCAACTGAAACACACACTTTGCTATTTTTAAGACAGGACTTTTGCTAACAGACTGCTCTAACGTCCCACAGGGAAGAGGAGAACCGCTCAGAAATAATGCTACTCGTGTACAGGAGGCGTCATTTTAGCGCTAAAGCCGTTACCATTTCCAGCAGAGTCGGACGGCGCTTTGGAAGGAGAGGTAATGTTCTCTTGCCCCAGTTTTCAGGCCGTCTGCGGGGATGTGCATTTGAATTCGAGCTTCTTAACGTTGTGCCTGCATCTTCTGGATGTTTTTGATTCGGGTTTTGATTCCGAGGAACAGAAGTAGTTTGAGGCGTATTTCTGGGAGCAGCCTGGTTTTTCTCAGCTTTTGCTGCAGTCTTGACAGGGATTTCTTAAAGAAAAAGAACACACTTTCATCTCAGACTTAAAAGTCTCTTTAACATGCTTATATCCCCATGCACTGGCAGTTTGTTAGTACTATTGTTGCTCACATAACCTGATAAGAAGGTGTTCAAGGCTTACTTGGAGGAAGGGAGAGTTTTGTTTGGTTTGAAGTTTCTTCTAAAATACAAAGAATTATTTCTAAACATTCACAGAAAGGAAAACAAGACATTTCAGTTCTGCAATACCAAAAGAAAAATAGAAGTATTTTTCTGAAGGAGATTTTAAAACCTCTGCCTCATTATCACTTAGAAAGTACATTGCCTCTGCTTCTCAGTACAGCTTGCTGCAAATCTGGCTGCTGAGAAAATCATGATACAGTTAGGGCAGAGGATGCCCAAGTTCAACTCCCTGCCTGCTAGACACTCTCTGTAACTTCAGGCAGGTCATCTAGGGCACGTGAGGCAGAGTAACTATCTGCAAAAACAAGGAAGAGTAACAGCGGCTTTGTACAATACACTGATACATACACTCAGAGAAGCACAAAATCTAACTACTAGAGAGTTCAAGTCTTAACTGCAACACCCAGCAGCCTTCTATGGAAAAAGCCCTTAAGGACATGAAAATTAGTCCACAGGGTGAGCACAACAGCTTTTTCCTGGCACTGTGCAAACATGATTTGAAGCAAGAGCAAAGACACGCTGCTTTTTTTCCCCCCCCAACTAGGGGATAAAAGGCTTGGGAAATTTGATGACACACCCTAACCAAAGACATTTTATGCCCCCTCTTCAACCCAGGACATGATGCCGAGAAGAGACAAGCAAAGAGTCTTTCAGGGAACTCTGAGGCTTTCTGAAGTATGTTTTAGGGCTGGGGAAGAAGAAGGGAGGGGACAGGGAAAGGCATTAGATGCTGCACAGGCCAAGTGGACATCCCTGTGCACTGGCCGTCTGCACAAATGCTGTGTTCTGTCTGGGTGCTTCTCTGAGACTGGGAGCTATCACCATACTGGGAACAAGTAATGGCTCACCCAGTAACCCCAGTCACTGCTCAAAACTGGGAGGAGGAAGGAATTGGGAAACAAGAGGAGGAGAGTAATAGCCTATCCTTTTCCCTTCCCCCCCCCCCAGCCTGTCATTACAGTACTAGCATGCACTGTCACTGAAAGCAAACTGGATCTGTACACAGACGGCAAAAACACCCCTGTGCATAACCTTTAACAAGTTTCTTGCTTTCCTTGTATAAGCCTAAAAAGCAACAGGTCAAGACAGCTCTGAATTACAGCACTGGTAGACAGGCCAGAAATGAAAAGGCATTTCCATAGCCAAGTATTTTGGAGATACAACCACTGAACTGCCATTACTTTAACATCTTTGCTAAATGTAAGCCATAGCTTGCATGTTGTATTTTCTTCTACAACACCTTTGATTTCTCTTAAAAGTTTTTCCTCAGGAAACTGTAAATACTATATAGGTTCTGATTGACAACCTGCAGCTTTCAGCAGCTGGGGATACAGCCGTAAAGAGCTACCACTGGGCTACTGTACTCATAAATGCTGTATTTATAGATACACAGGGGCTGGACAATGAGGTGGGAGATAGTAAAGGATCAAATACAGGATAGGTGAAGCCCCCCCTCCTTCCCAGAGCAGGGTAATTTGTGATCAGGTTTTATCACTGCTTGCAGTCCACACCACCGCAGTGACGTAGGGTAGAGGAGGAGAGACGGGCAGAGGACGCGCTCCCACGCACCTTCAGGCTCGGTGTCGGATGTGCTGCCGTAGTTGGCTGACAACGAACTCAGGGCAGAGGTGACCTGCTTGGGAACAACAGTCAATCCCACACTCTCATCTTCAGCTGCTGCTTCGTCCTTGTCAGATTCTGCAGGGAGAGAAAAGGCAAGATGGATTTTTCCCAATACTCCTGTATGCCAACAGCCAACCTTGCTGCTAAATCCCTGTCTCACCACGATACAAGGCTGATGTTGGGCACCATTGCTCACCAACAGAAAAACCCCACATGTGCCTACCCTCTGCAGACATTCAGTGGCAAAGTTGTGTCACCACTGGTTTACAGTCCTGCCATCAAAGCTACAGAAGCAAAAAAATTTCCTGAACAAGAGCCTGGGACTTCTGGTTCTTCCTTCACATACTGAAAATAATTATAGGTTTTATTATCAAATGTAGGTGAAGAAAGAGAGAGGATTTCATAATATGTTTGAAATCTTGCTGGATTTATTCTTTTCCTGCTGGTGAGAAGGATTCAAAAGCCACTCAGGGGCAGGGGAGGAAAGGAGAATTAGGCTCATTCAAAGTGAGAATTTAAGAGCAAGGACACTGAGAATCAAGGCTACATATTAGATAACTGGTTTTCAGCAGTACTACAGACCATTCGATACTTAAATCCCCGCAGAGTACTACAGACATGCACGAGTAAGCGAGGTATTACAGTCTCAAACTACCCCAAAAGACAATACTGGGAAGATAGGAGGCAAGTGAACCAAAAATACTGAATTTGAGAACACTAGGAAAACAGAGCCCTATCAGAAAAAAGATTCCTAAAAATAAACATGCAAAATTGTGATGGCTTTACTTTGAAACAAAGGATTTATATGCATTAAAATCTGGGAAAGACTCTCAGGTGAACAGTGCTAGAACTAGAAGGAAAATTAGGAAATGCTTTTTAGTAATACACTTGCAGACAGATTTAATACATACACACAACACTACTAGGAACATTTTGAGAAACTACCTTGTTGAGACTTCTACAGAAAGACTGGTTGCAATCTTATTTTCACAAAGAACAGGAGTTGTGCCCTCTCCCATCCCTTGTCTAAGCCTGTCCCAGAGAAAACTGCTTCACACTTCTTAAGATTTTACTGAAATAAACACTTTTGAAGTTTTTATTTTGAAATCACAAATTCTTCTCTATTCTCTTATATCATTAAAAACTAGCAATTTGATTCATTGGAGCTCAGGATGTTTGGTAAAACAACTTTTAGATAAATACAGAGGTATTTAAACTTCTAGATAAACACACAAGTATTTATCTAAACTACTTACCTGCCTCTTTTCACTTTGAACTCTTTGAGAAAGGCTGATTCTCACTGATTTGGTAATCATGTCAAAGTGCAATTACATTGGAAGCTCATGCTAAATGCAGTGCATTTTTCCAAGGGAGAATACATAGCACCTGCATATGCTTAAACTACAAAAATACTATTTGCTTCAAGTTATTTTGATTAATTGCTGCGTTTTTCTACCTCATCCAAAATGTTGAGTGCATACTGTAGCTGGGGGCTTTTTATTTTCTTTTAATTTTAAATAATTAGTTTTAATTTACTTTTTATCAAATTCAGAAGACATTTCCTGGAATACATTTTCTCTTTGAGAGTAACACATTTGTAGGAAGCGTTATGCACTACTGCATACAACGGACTGTTTCTGATCAGTAGATCTCAAAATTTTACATTGATGGGCTCATCATCTTACCTTGTTTCTGCTTATAAATAAAGAGGAAAACTTTATTTTCTCATGTTCCATTCAATTTCTTAACTTTGAAGGAACTAGCCACTAAAGAGAATCCAAGTGAAAGCATCATGCAAAAAAGGCATACCCTCTACAGAAAGGACTGCTGCTGTTAGAAAGGTTTAAATACTCCAACAATATGTACCTATACATTAAAATCATGGACTTCAGTTGTATAATTTTTTTTTTAAGTTATACTTAGTTATATTATGTTTGTGATTATTTGTTATGACTATTCCTCAACAGTAAAAAAACCCTGCAACTGGCTTTAATAATGTGTAATCACAGAATCACAGAATGTTGGGGATTGGAAGGGACATCGAAAGATCATCTAGTCCAATCCACCTGCTGGAGCAGGAACCTAAATGAGATCACACAGGAAGGTGTCCAGGCGGGTTTTGAATGTCTCCAGAGAAGGAGACTCCACAACCTCCCTGGGCAGCCTGTTCCAGTGCTCTGGCACCCTCACTGTAAAGAAACTCCTTCTGAAATTTAAGCGGAACCTCCTGTGTTCCAGCTCACACCCATTGCTCCTTGTCCTACCACTGGACATCACTGAGAAGAGCCTGGCTCCATCCTCATGACATTCGCCCTTTACATATTTATAAACATTAATGAGGTCTCCCCTCAAGTCTCCTCTTCTCCAGGCTAAAGAGCCCCAGCTCCCTCAGCCTTTCCTCATAAGGGAGATGCTCCACTCCCTTAATAAGCAAATACTACGTTCCTTTTCTACCTATTATAACAGAAGCTACTAGGCTGTACTGTGGGATAATTAGACTTTTTATCATTAAGTAAAACACAGATGCTGCAGGGAAATACAGTTATATTTAAGTATCCTTGAAGTTTCCCAACACGCAGAGGTTAGTGGAACAAACATTGCATAGGGATGCTGAGTTCTTGTTCCCACTAATTGAAGATTATGTTTTCAAGAGGAAAAACTCAGAATCAGACATCTTTCCAGGGGATCCATTCTAGCCTTGTTGCTAAAAATAGCTAGAGTATAAGTCAGCTTACATGCCATATTCTATGAGTACTGCATCACTGCTGACTATATTATAAATAGTTATATCTGGAGAGTTTATGTTGCTGCCAGCATGTGGAAACAAGATATGCTCACCAAAAAAAACAAAGCAGCGATACTTCAGAGAACACACATATGGAGAGTATCAAGAGTAAATGAGATAATACAGAAAAACTGGAATTAAAATAAAAATGCTGACATTTTAAGTAATTCAGTCAACTCATACAAGGAAATCCATTTATTTTCACAGTCTAAATACTGTTATTTTCAAACCCACTACGTAATATTTAATAGTCTTTAAAAAAATAATTTGGTTGTCAAAGTTGGCTTTGAGCAACCTGGTCTAGTGGAAGGTGTCCCTGCTGATGGCAGGGGGGTTGGAACTAGATGATCTTTAAGACCCCTTCCAACCCAAACCATATGAAAATACTTTATTATATTTTTTTTACTATTTATCTTCATAAAGATTTTCTTATTTTACATATTAGTTTAGCAACCTAAGTTGGTCCAGGTCCTTTGGACTATTGTACATCAGAATGTGTAACACTGCACACAAACTTTATGTCAGCACTTCCAAAAGCCTGACTAGCAAGCAAAAGTTTCAGCATCTAAACTTAAAACAGATGGTATTTCTTTTCCTCTCCTTCCTAAAGTTACGACAGCATCACTTCCCTACATCCCAAACCACCTTCCTGTTGCTGCCTCTCCCAGCTAAGTGTTTTGGACAAAAAAGCATTCCTAGTCAGGAGATTACAGATAAAATAAGATTATTATGGTAAAGTACTTGTTAAAACCAAGATAGAATTGAGGTGGTCCAGAAATTCTCTTGTTTGTTAGCTAAATATTGATTTTTAAAAGCTAGTAATGTATTTTAAAACATACAAAGGTAAGATAAGTAAGTATCTAATATGGTTATTTTTCAGATCCAATACACACCTACATCCTGTCTCCCAACATCATTTTCCATTCATAGCAAGCATTTTTTTATGATACAGAATAAAATTTAATGCTTCTTAATTCTCACAGAAAAATCAGAAAGACACAAAAGTAGTCAGCTAGAATTTCCCCAATCAACTTGGCTTGCAAGCAAACTTATCCAGAAGCGCTTAATGCTGGTGGTAAACATTCTTGTGTTGGCCTTTATAAATTAGAATTTTTCTTCCTCTTCAATTACTTTGTATTTCAGCTTCTTTCCAAACCATATCTCAACTAAGTCTACTAATTTTAGCTCCTCCCACCAGCACATGTAGGCATGAATTCAGCCAGACACACACACACATGTATCTCAATGACCTCTAGACTACTGAGATAGTTTCCTCCATAACAGGTCAAGCCTAACTAGGGCAGAAGCTCCCCGAAATGCAAGATTTAACTCATTTCCTTTAAATAAAGCACTGACCCACTCTTTCAAAACAATCACACTGGGAATTCTCTTAGAGGACCATGTCCTGAACCAGGATCTCTCTCTATGGAAATTTCATTTGAAAGGAAGTTCTAAGTGCAAGTTTTAGGTGTAGGGATCCTACCTTCAACCTCATGACAATGTTGGCCTTGGCACTACTCTAGCCACAATACAGCAAATCCTGGGCTTTTTTGTTGTTAACAATCAGAAGATAAGTACGACAACAGGCTCCTCAGTATTCTTCTCCAAGAATACTCTAAAGCCTTGCATCAATCTTCTGCAAAGAGCTCTCCCATTTTAAACATGCACAGTTAGCCTTCTTTCAATCAAGGATAGAGTTTAAGTGTTTTTGGAAATCCCCAGCTCTCCCCAGAAGTTGCTCATTCCACAAAAGGTCAGTAATCACTCCAGAAGTACCACCTAAAAAAAAGTTCTCCAAGTTCCTTCATCTTACCAGCATCACCATTTGCCAGAAGACTGAGAGGGTCCATGTCCTTCTCATACACCTGCGCTGACAAAGTACGCTGGTTTTCATGTTCCTTTTCGCACACCCCATTTTCTGGTCCATTCACCTCATTTTGAGTTCTATGTGCATTATAATCGCCACCATTTTTCCTAAATTTCTTCCAGAATGGGCGCCTTTGTCTTCTCCTCTGTCTTCCTTGCTGCCCAAGCCTTTCTTCATTTTCTGGAGGTTTCCACATCCCCTTCATTTTGCTGGAGAACAGAAACACAAAGCTCACATAAATGACAGGCTACGAGAACAAAATCAATTGATGTAACCAAACAGCTCAGGTCCACATCTGAGGTTGAGCAACACAGCATGATGCCAGGACTTACTCCAGCTCAGCTAACATGTGGTGACAGACCAGACAGACAGTCACAAGTCATGTCATTGGCAGGGCAATGTGACAAAGCTGGAACCTAAATGAAGAGTTTGAAGTTCTTGACTTTTATCTTAACAAGGCAAAGGGTACACAGGCTAAGCAAGCTCCTTGATGATCTACAGTGTGAGGACATAGTGTTTCCATTTCACATTACGAAGTCAACAAATATTCCCTTCACTTAAGTAATTAAGTCATTCAAAACAGGGGGAACACTGAATTACAAGGGAATCATCTATTATAACCATACTTCCACTGCTGAAGACTCCTTTTTCCAGTCATAGCTCAGAGAAGGATCTTGCTGCACTAAATCCATTCAGCCAACTGACATCAATCGCAACAACTGCCTGCTCCTGCCTCCAACTAACATGCCATTCATCTTTCCCACTTCAGTGGAAAAGGAATAAAATAAACTTTTATCAGGACAATGGATTTCTTAAAACCTGAAACAAAATAACAAGTTCTAAAATATAGGAAGAGCACAGCATGCTGGTTCCACTTATCTTCCATGATCTTCCAGGTATCTTATAAACACAAAACATGTTTATTAGGAAGGTATCTGGAGAGCTTAAACTCTTGTCAAAGTCTACAGATACGAGAACACAGGTGACCTAGACAGAAAAGCAAAATTAGAAGGGACAACCTAAGCTTCCTGAAAATACTTCTTTTCAGACAGGAGAGACTTAATTCAGCAAAACAAGACTGCAACTAATAATCAGCACATTACAATCACAAAAGACATACAAGATCTACTGTCCTGAATGAGCCCCATGGTTCATTCTGCTCAATATTCTCTCCTCCAGCCTCACCTACAGCATGCAGAGGTCCTGTTATCCCTAGTCAACCGTATAATATGATACTTGGGCAAGAGCTTCTTCCTGAAACTTCTCCCTGGGTCTAGAGCCATGTATCTGCAAGGAGAATCTCATATTTCTAACCTGGCACCTTGTCACAGAGAAGCAGCCAATGGAACATGTGAGGAAACAAAAAAGAGCATAAAATCAGGGCAAATAGTCACCTTTCTCCTCGCCTACTTTTCCATAGTGTACCACTCAAAGAGACCCTCTCTCACAAGAGATGTTCCCAAGACACTGTGTCTCATACTGTGGGATGCTGTGTGAATGTCTGGCATCCCTGAAATCTTGCAGCAAGGTGTTAATATTTTGTGAAAAAGGATTCCTTTTGGTTTATCTTCATTCTGATGTCCAAAATGGTCATTTGGTACCCCCATCCTTCTCAAGTTACAAGAAACCATATAACTCCATTCCATTCACCTCTTCCCACCTACGCAGTTTCTCCAGACCTCCATCATACAGCTCGTCCAAGCCACCCACCTCTTTGCGTGTATAGAAACGTCCCCATTACCAACATTCCTCTCCTCCGTATCTTCCAGTCTAATTAAGTCCTTCTTGAGAAGAGAACAGGGCCTACCATAGCATTCAAAATGGCTTCATATTGCAACAAAACATACTTCATTTCATTCTACAGTCATTTCATGACAGTGTCTTAACACTGACTGCTCAGCCCCAACAGCGTCATCCACCATACTGTTGTCATCCTGTGGCACAAGAGGCGAGCCACCACCTTCCTGTGCATCAGTCCCTCAGCCCACAAAAGGAGGCTAAAAGTAGCTCCCATAATTCAATTCCACCTAGACAGAGAACTGCATTTCTGAATTTGTCCAACCAGGCTCTAAATTCAGGACGTTGTAGCATAACTTATACGATATTGAGCAAATATAGGCTCCATTAGAGGTGTTGTTCTTCACCAAGGGTTAAAAACAACATTTTGATTTCCCTAGGGCCTCAGATACCCAGAAAGACACCCCAAGGTCACAAACACATCCCAACAAATGGCTTCTGCCTTCCCCTTGTGAAGGATATACTACTCTTCACTTCCCGTTTAGAGGGGATAAAGAGCCATGCGCTATTAATCAGCTGTTGCAAGACACCAGACAGACTACCAAAGTGGTCCTTCTGCCTCTCTAATCTCACAGGCGGGGATGCTGAGAATTAGCAGTTGCAAAGCACTTCAGAGAACCACAAATGGAAAGTGCCATATAAGTGTTAAGTATCTAATCCTCTCTAAATCTTACTTAGCCATTTGCTTTTATAGTACAGCTGGCACAGAACAAGCTGTATGCTATTTTTGCCTCATGCATCACTAAATTTGCCAGATAAGCACCAATTCCAGAATCTTTACTGTTGACATACAAAGCAGAAATGACAGCTTTTTGGACAATTCATCAAGTCTATAGTGCTAGCAGCTCAGGGAAGGGAGGGAAGGGGAGGAAAGAAGAGATTTCCAAAATCAACCAGAGTTAAAGGTTACTAAGTGAAAGCAAACAACCTATAATTTTGAGGGTTTTTTTTTTCCCCAAAAACAATTTTCCAGATAAAAAGTTACTCACAAATGTAGTAGTATGGAATTGCTGATGGACTTTTAAGACTACCTAGTGCATCTGACTCAGTCACAAGAGTTACCAAACAAATCTGTAGATGCCAAAGTTCATTAATGTGACAAGCAAAACTCATCTTTGCTTGTAAGAATCTCCAAACATAATATTATGTTCGTTTCTAGCTTTAGTCTCACTGCCTAGGTTCCGTTCCTTGGGTCCAAATCACTTCTGCAACTTTATATCCTTTGAAAGAAGTTTTACTTCAGTCTTTTACAAACCTTTCCTTCCAAAGTTATGAAAGGTAATTGGTTGGAGGAGGTGGCTAAATGTTGGGTCTTCTGAAGCACGTGCTGCACCAACATAATTTGCACTGTCACCATTTAACAAGTTACACTAGCCTGACATGAACCCTATTGCACACTAGTTCAACCACTTTACCATGGTGCAAGTTTTATTTTTAGTGTCATCTCCTATTGGGGAAAAAAAAAAAAAAAAGAAAAAAAAAAGAAAAAAGCTCCAGCTTCACTTCCATGCAGCAGCAAATGGTATTCAGCAAGAGCCCCTTGGAACTGAGTCTGCTCCTACCTTCCAGCTCAGTTCTTCCAGTTTAAACAAGTGATACTCTAGGAGCGTGGATCATTCTAACTTTTTTTTTTAAAAAAGTCTTTCCACAAGCCTTATAGTAGAGCTAATGAAGTTAGTTGGTTCCACATAACACTGACGGGAAGAAAAAAGAACAAAGGCCATACTGGAAAGTAATTCCCAATATAAGGGAGAGAACAGATGAAAATCCAAGAGGAGTAAGTCTTAGGCTCAGAACAAAAATAGCAGATAGATAAAGATGATGGTGGGTAGAAGAAAGAAGTAGCATTAAAGCTATATAAAGTTAAATCTTCCTCCCCTCTTCACTTATTATTGATTTATCATCTGTAAGGAGAGAGTAAGAAGCCAAATCTGCCCACAAAATCTCTCTCGGCCATTTTCAGGCATTAAAGGATTAGACCATGTGGATTCATTATGTTGTGTGACTTCCGTCCCCATTCTTTCTTTTTCAGAGACCAAGGTAATGCTGAACAGTCCCTAGAATGTGGTTTTCTCAAACAAGGCAGCAAGAACAGACTTCTAACAATTATTATTTAACTGAAGTGGATTATGAACATTACATCTGCACTTTGTCAAATGACCTGTCCTCTGCCAACGGGCAGCTAGATCGTGCGCACAGTAGAAGCAGTAAGTGCTGGGAGATCACAGTACAAGAGTATACTCCTGAACTCATTCAGAAGAAAGTAACAAGGTTGTTTCAAAATGCTTACCCAAACTGTTGGGTAGTCAGCACTTCTCCTCTTTCTTCCTTCTCCATCTGCATCGCCTTCTTCCTTTCAATATTGGACAATGTAGGAAAATTTCTAGAAGAAAAAAAATTCACTGACTCATAATTCACTGTACTTCATCAATCACCCCTTTACCAAACCAGCACCCTCTATAAATGTAACAGATTTTTAAAATGCTTCATATAAGTTTAGCAGACTGTTTCCTTCTTAAAAAAGCATCAGTGAAGAAAAGAAACCTGAGTGCATTTATGCTTACATACTGAGATAAAAAAAAAAAACAACAAACAACCCAAAAAACCAAAACCAAAACAAAAATCTACCAAATTGGCATGATTAGATTTACCAAATCATCAAACAAGCTACAGACAGTTAGGTTACACTTATGGACCCCCTGCCTGACTCTCACAGAGCAGCACGATTTAGTCCTGCAATTGTATTTTTATAGTGCTTCAACCGGAGTATTTGAATTATCTTAAGAAGTACAACATGCCTTTAGCAACTCAACTGCTTACTTCTTGTAATATCAAAAAAAGGGTGTAAGAACAGCTTCCGGGTGCATGAGATGCCTTTCATGTGACAGCTGGGGAAAAGCACACGAGTTTCCTCTTGAGCAACATTCAGTATTGAGCTCACACACTGACCTCTAGTTCACCAAAATTACTGTCCCTTTTTAATTCCAGCTTCCAGAAAAATTGCTAAGTCATGCAGATCAAAACAAATCCACTGTTATAACCATCTCTCAAACCATCCCTTTCTTCCATTCCCCACCTCCCTCCCCATCCCTCCCTAGGGATTAATGCCACGCTGGTTCTAACATGCAAAGCCTGCTGCAAATTACCACCAAAGCCCAAAAACGGCTATGCTAGTTGCTCTGTAAACATCACTTAGCTAAATCCCAGTGCTTTGAGATAAAGGTGTTAGATGAGAAACACATGCACACCCCCACCAGCTTCTGGATAGAAACACAAAGTATTAATATTTGATAAGTCTATTAAAATGGAGTAACAAGAAACTAAGGACATCTGCTCAGTATATATAGCTATCAAAAAGGACACATATCTTTCCGTAAATATTTAATCTTAGCACGTGCATCTTCCCCATTTTACAACACGAACGTTAAATGTCACATTAATACCAGACAGCTTCAACCACACACCAAGGGAAAAACAGGAGAAGTACTTCCTACAAGACACACCTGAACACGCTAAAGAACTTGTCTCCTTTAAGAGGATTTGAACATGAGCTGTCAACATCTATTTTCATTGGATTTCTCCCAGAAATCTGCCACAAAGCTCAAGCGAGCACAGGGATGGGATGTTTCACCTCCGCTCCTCCCCATCAGCTACGTTTGTTCATCCATGTTGTAACACTCCCAGCACACAGCAAGTGTGCAATGAATTATTTAATCTTAAGAGCTTGACACTGACAAAGACCCCTGTGCTTGGCACCTCTCCTCAGTTTTAGGATAAGGTGCTTTCCTTCACATGAGTACGGCTCACAGGAGGAGAGAGTGCTATAAAATAAGCAATTATGCTCAAAAGAGCCCCAAGTTTGTCTTAGACTTTTTTTTTTTAGACATAAGGGAAGACCCTTAATCCTGGAGCAAAGGAGTCTTCAAAGTGCTCCTGTAGTTATGCTGATTAAGGACATATTCAGACACGCTGTCTCAACGTGATTTGAGCCATGACTGCCTCCCACTTTCATTCCTGTGAGTTACCACTCCCTCCACCGAGCCATCTGAATGGACTCCACAAATGCTTTCAGTTCGATTCACTGCCAAAACAGACAGATTTCTCCTAAACCACCCTTCCAGTTGACACAGGCAGTAACTAACAGCTAAAGAGCTCAATTTGTAAGTCTGAGTATGCCTGCAAAAGCACATCTGGAGGTACTTGTAGTGCCTGTGTTTATTTTTTCCAGCTATTTTCAAATGTTAAATAGCATTTTACCCACTGCCTTTACCTTGTGCAGAAAATGTACCTATTTTCACAGCACAAGTGCAGTGTTTCATCTCATTCACAATGAGCAAATGAACATTTGATAGTTTATTCCTCTGTATGGCAGACATTGCAAACTTTACTATCTAAGGACAGTCACAAATTACTCAAGAGAAGTCACAAATCAAAGAGATTAATTTTTTTACAGAAAATTAATTTAATTAATTTTTTTACAGAAAATTCTTATTCAGGAAGGCTAAATTTAGAAAGACTGCTCCTGAACAGAGGTGTGACAAAGCAGAAGGAAGAGCCTATACTGAATCTCTTTATATAAAAGGCCATGTGTTAAAATCCAATGAGCTAACTTGGGTTTAAATCCTGCTCAGAAGGCATCCCCTCCTTGCCCCCTAACAAAATGAGGTTCTTAATGTTAGCTACGAACATCACTGAAGTAAGAAGAGGTAGCCCAGCATTTAGGGCCTGCAAACAACTTGTCAGAGCTTGAATACAGACAGCTTAATCAGTTACCACAAAGTCATTAAGAATTTAAACTACTCATTGTAAAAAAGGGAGTTAAAACCAGGATGTGATGGTCTGGCACAGTAGATTTCATGAAGGAGTCAGTACTGCCCAAGAAGGCAGCCCCATTTCTCAGCAGCTGTTTCCAACCACAGACACTTCTATAATCCAAACTGGAAGTTTTTCAGTATAAATTGTCAGGATAACAAGAATAAACTGGTTTTCATGCTAAGACAAGTAAATTACATATATACCAACAAAATGACATGCAAGTAAAGGATACCCTAAGCTTCCAGAGACAGGGAATGGTGACACAGAGCATAATCACTAACATGTGTGTCTTAGCAACTAGATTTCGCCCCCCCCCAATAAATGAGTGCACTAGCCAGTCTCATACACGCTGCATAGGCCAGCGTACCCCATCTTGCTCACAGAAGCATCAGAGTAACCCAGCTCTTGGCAAGCACTGGTAAAACAGAGCTTTGCAAATGTCTAACAGAAAAGACCTGTTTCTACAGCAGTTTACACAATGAATTTCTCAGTCAAGAACTATACAATTTGTCACCTTTACAGGAACAGCACTGTTATCAAATTGCCTCAATAATTTCTTGAGCTGGTCTTGATTTCACATGTGGAACCGACAGCAAAGGGGACATGGACAGCCCAAAGGGAACAGACAGCCCAATAGAGAGCTGATAAAATCTTGGTTTAAGACTTCCAGGCATTTTATCGAGCATGCATCTCTAGTGTGATTTTACCATACCTTAGCTGAGGCAGTTTTATTGCTAATCCATCCCTGCAGTTCAGGGTAAACTTCTTTGTATCTATATTTACCTTGATGTACCAACACATTTCTTCTACTTTGCTTCATCTTCTCCGCTTTTACCAGGTGCTACGAAGTTATTTTCCTTATTACATATGTAACTACTATGAATACAAGACCAGAGAGGATTCCAAACTACTGTAGGATTATCATTATTCAACTAGAGAACCACAAAATTAATTGGAGTGGTGTGGTTGACAGTATCAGCCTTCATTCATTAAGCACATGCTCCACCTATGAGCTGTATTGCAAGGAAATACAGCAGTTAATCCCTAACAACAACAACAACAAAAGATTAAAAAAAGGGGGAGAGTAGGGGGAGAATTTACAAAGAACACACAAGATCAAGAAAATCCTTCAATGTTATATTAGGACCTAAGCAAAAGTAAGTTTAACTACTTGCTTTAGCACCAGAACACCCTTGCCATATCCTTTCTAATAACCTTTGCTCAAGAAGAGTTGGTTAGAAACAAGTAGGCTGGGGAGACACTTCTCTCACTTGGGGAGAAGGGAAGACAGCACTACCTCATTCTGACATATTAAGGAACTGCATTGTAGATAGTTCCCTTTAAGCTTGTGTTTAAGAAAAAGTATGCTGAAACCAGCATATTCCTCAACTTTTGGAAGGGACAGGAAAAAAAAAAAACCAATAAAAGTAATTGTAATCACCAAAGTTGATGTCAGACTTCACAACCACCTGTCTGCAAAACATAGGGGAAATCCTGAAATCCCGTGGAACTTCATCTCTACTGCTGTTTGCTTAATTAGACTGCCTGGCTCAGCAGGTTCAATGGGCCACAAACCATTCAGGAGTCTTTTAGGTAAGCAGAGATATAAAGGCTTCAGCAATGAACAGGGCATTGTACAGAATCAGACAGGAAAGCAGCACGCCAGCCCAGCTTACTTCATCTAGAGATACTTGCTCCTTGCCAGCTCTCCCCCTTCTCTTCCCTCTGTGTTGAGTAAGGCTGCATTTTAAACACAGGCTCTTTCTAAAAGATTTTAAGCAGGATACACGACTAAGCAACACAGCAGTTAATTAAGAAGAAAAATCTCAGCTCTGTACGTAATTATTTATAATGGCTGAAAGAACAAGACAGGAATGTTAGGGATGTAGCATGGAAACACGTGTTAAATCACTGCAACCTAATTAGAAACAAACTACTAATGACCTAAAAAGATTAATTCTTAACTCTGAGTGGAGCTTCTAGACAAAAAAAAAAAGGTTTTTTCCTGTCACCATAAACCAAAACTGCCTAACAGCTCAGACTCCCTCTGGTGTCCTTTTTTTCTATACAATGCAAGGTTTACTGTGAGTCAACAAGAGACCTTGAGTACTAAACTGATGTTTTGCTGGCAACCCAATTAATACTTCACAAAAGTTTCAGCTGGGTTTCTCTCTCTTTTTTTTTTTTTAATAACAAGGAAAAAAAAAAATAGAGGATGTTAGTACTGGGTCCTTGCTGTACAAAAAGTAACAAAAGCCACCCAGGTAGTCATTCTACACCCATTCTTTATAGCTAAAGAAGATGCCCACAGAAGGACTGAAGTACCAAAATAAGCTACAGCACTACTCCATCTAGTGGCCTTGGCTTAGGAGGTCCTAATTCCATATTGCCTTTTTCGGTTGGTGGTTGTGACTACAAGACTTTATTTCCACTGATTTTACCGTGCTGCATAAACAAAGGCTTTCAGCAACGTTGTACCACAGCCAAATTCTATTCATCTGTAAAAAACGAACAGTATCCACCATGAGATTCTCTAGAAACTCAGCAAAAACAGTCTCAGGCAGAGTATCATCATTACAACTAAGTGTAGATAAATGTTGCTTTGACTCTCAGCACTCACTCCCCAGGCAAAGTTACCTAAAACACGACTACATTCAATTCCTGCTTCCCTAATTTTCTAGTAAACAGTAGAGGACGCACTGACATACACACCTTAAACATAATTTCAACACTTAAACCTTAGCACCAGCCACTAGACAAGAACTCTCCCAAACACTTCCCAAAACAGGAAAGTGTATGCAGAGTTGAAAATGAGTAGCAAAGACTCTGCACACAAGTACTGATGTTTTTCCTTGGAGCTACTGTTAGAAATAAGGTGTAGGCCACCAGACAGACAAATCTAAGGACACTTTGGTTTTTGCCAACCTGCTTAACAGTTCATATTGTAAGTAATGAAGATGTATTAAGTATCACTTGGTGGGGGGGAAGGACAGCAATATGTAGACTGGAAGCAAATAAAAACCCAAGCCCTCAAGTATCTTTTCAGTAAGAGGAAACTTTGGAACCAAAACTAATCTAACACCAAACATGTACTTGAACAGATGACAAGCAGTTTTTGTCTGGTTAACCACGGCATTTTAAAGATAGCAGAAAAGAAATTTTTGTTTCTGTATCAACAAGAGCAATTATAAAAGAGAGGAACTAACAGATTATCTTCAGTTGTAAGAAAACAAACAGCAAGTGCAACAGTTGACTGCTGTGATGTGCTCACATAGCGACATAGTGATCAGACTTCCCTTTGCCTTTCTGAAATTTACAGGAAAAGCTGAAACCACGTCCAAAGGAAAGTTAGAACAGGGATGAACTTACATGGGTATAAATTTTGCCTCTCAATACAGCAAAAAGTGATGGGAGGCAATAAAAAAAAATTCCTACCATACATTCCACTCAATTTTCTCTTTTACAAAGCCACTGTGTAAAAACTTAAGGAAAAGGTTCAAAAATAGAATGCATTAACATTGCTTTCTGACATAAATGCAAGCTGGATTCATCAGTAAGACTGCATCACACAATTGGGATTATTTTCATTTAAAAAAAAACCCAAAACCCACAAAAAACCCCCCACAAAAAAAACCCAGGTGTCTAGCACACTGCCCAAGTTCACCAGCAGTGATCTTGCAATTAAATTTGTATCATTTCTCATTCTGCATATAGGACTCTTGCTCACAGAAACAAAACCTGTGTACTGATCACTCTCAAGACTATATTCTAAGTCAGGAAGAGAAGTGAGGAAAGCCTACAGCATCCTTCACCTGCTGGAAAAGGGCAGATTTTAAGCTACTCAACTCTGAGGAAAAAAAGAAGAAATCAGTGGGATAAGGTCTATGGGAAGTACAGTGTGAATTTCTAAACACTTCAATGCTGGTCAACAAGAGTTATACCACCTCACATCACAGAATGAGAAATACTGCTAACATTGGAACTCGACCTTGCACTTTAGGTACGATGCAAGTTAGACTACCCGAGTCAGCATCATTCAGGGATTCTGTTCTCTTTCAGTAGAAAAGTCAAGCAATGCAGAAAGCTCTTAAAAATTTTGAGAGCTCCCTGTTGGGGTCTACTGGGACAACTTCAGCTGTGGAGATTTGCACACAGTGGGATGTATTAGAATTACAGTCAGTACAATAGTTCCAGATTTCTTAGCTATTAAAAAAAAACAGCAAACACACACACATTTCTGATGTAAAATGATGAGGTTAAAAGGAAGGAGCCATTTATCTAACCTGGGGTACCAAAGCAAACGTCCGTGGAAGCTACTCCCTTCTCAGTGCACATCTTGCCTTCTATTTTAATCACCCAAATTATTAGGCTCTGTAGCTCGCACCCTCCTGGCTCAGGCATCCTGACACGTACCACTACTGCAGGAGTTTTGCAGAGTCAAAGGAACAGCAGTAGCAGTAAAGCAGGTGCTACTGCTGCCTTTCAGCTGTCATCTGACCATCACACAGGAAAACACAGTAAAACAAATTCACAGGTCACAAGTCTTACTCACTTTTTTCTTTCTTCTCTCCATCTGGCAATCTCTTCTGGACTATCTAATTTTATTCTTTTAGCACCAGGTGCATGTGCCTGAGGAAAAAGTATTTCATAGGCATTTAAAAGGGGAAGGAAAAACCACAGAAGAAAAGAAAAAATGCATCATTCTGTCAACTATAGTAGTCTCACATGGTTTCCATCTCCAAAAGTGGGTTGAGACTGCACACAGTGCTTACAAAATGAATCAATTAAAAAAAAAAAAAAAAACAAAACAACAAACAATCCCACAAGATAGTATTCAACATATTTTCACCCACAAGACTGTCTTACAACAGCTTCTGCTCAGAGGTGATAAGTTTTCCTTCCAGAAGGATGAAAGCAAGCCTCTGAAGAACGAGAAAAGGGACTGCAATAAAGACTGCACAGAGTTATATTTTGGGCCCAGGGGAACACTTACGTTCTTCCAGTGTATCTGAACTATCTTCTCATGTGCGCTGAAACTGCAGCCTTCTTCTGTACACTGCAAGGTAACGGGGAGAACTTAAGCCACACCAAGTTACACAAGCAAACTACAAACAAGCATTCCAGCGGCAGATGCCTGGACAGTTAGTTCCACAGAACTTTTAAGCTACCCAGTTTCAAAACAAACACGACTGTAAAAACAGTAAGAAGGGATAATGTACTTTTAAATTTCATCTGACTTTAGAGTAACCTGTGAAGCCAACATATCTGATAATTGGAGATAACGTGAAGTTAATTTAAGAGAAAGGTTTGCAAGACTCTCCAATTTCAAATTTTGATATTTCTTTGCAACAAAGGAGCGGATTTTTAAAATACGTTTTCCACACAAGGTCTTTTCACACAAAAATTTTACGTCCTATACTGATGTCACTGGGGTGACTTCACAAGAAAGACATTAAAATTACCTCAGCAATAAAACAAAAAATAGAACTGAGACCTCCCCTACACACAGCACTGAGAGAAAATCCTCTACTAATACTTTTTGTAGCTCTGGAATCTCTTTGTTAAGTCTTCCGTTCAAAGCGTAACTAGAGCTACTACTTAACAGGCACAAAATTAAGAATCAAAGTGTAAACAAAACAAGCCAAACTCATCAACCTGTTTATGTTGTGAAATATGTTCGTCATACTTCTCCTGGTTTTTATAGCCACGGTCACAGGTATCACAATAATGAGAAAAAACTGGCTCTTTTTTCTTTTTGTTCTGAAAAAAAAAAATAAAATAAAAAAAGAAATCACCTCAAGACTGCAGTTACAAGATTATAAGGTATTCCCACTTTTAATTAGGTATGAAACATTACTGTGAGTATTTTTGTTAATAAATCAATTAAAACATGCTTCACAAGTTTCAAAGACAAGTGAACATAACATGAAAGTGAAGTTCAAATCACTTATCTGCCAAACAAAGCACCCTGCACTCGGCTCTTTCCACTACCACCTTTCCATCAGTTATTGCTCTGCACACACACCAGGCTGGCACAGATTTGTTGAGGGCTGGGGGGAAAGCTTGGCTACAGCCCTGAGCCTCTTCCCTATCAAGTCAGACCATGCCCATTCTCATATGACATATAAAAGCTCAGAGGGCAGCAGGGACCCTTCCTTCTCCCACAGCACACCAGGGTGATCTGGCTGTCTGGCCTTGACAATATAACTGAGAGCTAATGCAATTCAGGCATCCAGGCATCGCTGTGTTAAGCACTTTTTAAAAGTAAACCTGTGTTAGAATTTGGTTGAAATGTATCTTTCTTTCAAAGGGCTCAAGATTTGCAGACTGGTTGTCATACATTTGTACTCTTGTAAGGGCTAGAACGTGAAACAAGAGTATGGGGTCCCTGTGGTACCAGGAGACAAGTCCCACACAGCTGCTACCACCACAGAATGACAGAATGGTTTGGGTTGGAACAAACCTTTAAAGGTCACCTAGTCCAACCCCCCTGCACTGAGCAGGGACATCTTCAACTAGATCATGTTGCTCAGAGCCCCATCCAGCCTGACCTTGAACAGTGACGGGGCATCCACAATTTCTCCGAGCAACCCGTGCCAGTGTCTCACCATCTTCATTGTAAAAGTTTTCTTCCTTATGTCCAGTCTAAATCTATCCCCTTTTAGTTTAAAAGTATTGCCCCTTATCCTAGTGCTACAGGCCCTAATAAGAAGTTTGTCGCAATCTTTCTTATAGGACCCACTTAAGTACTCATAGCCCACAATAAGGTCTCCCCAGAGCCTTCTATTCTCCAGGCTGAACAACCCCAACTCTCTCAGCCTTTCTTCACAGGAGAGGTGTTCCAGCCCTCTGACCATTTTCCTGGCCTCTCTGGACTCGTTCCAACAGGTCCAGGTCTTTCTTGCACCGAGAACCCCAGTCCATACCTTTGGCTTGTTATTTTCTTCTGGAAAACGTTTACTAAATCCAGGTGCTTGCTTGCCTTGCCACTTCTGGGAGAAATTGCCATTTCCACCTTCAAAAAAAAAACAAAACAAAAGAAGTAAGCAGTTATACATACAGCAGGTAAAACACAACCACCGCTACCTCGATGGGCCTGCCGTGGCAGGGAAGAGATGAGATGGGGCTGCACGACAGCACGGCACATGCTTGTGGGGTGGGGCCCCCCAAGTGCTCGGGACAGCCCCAGGGTCCCTGCCGGTGAGGGATGAGGAGGAGCCCATGGGCCCGAGAGACGACTTTCCCCGCACCCCTCACCAGCGTGCGGGCCCTGGGGTT